GATTTGCACATTTAGCTTCCCCAACCCCCCCACCCCCCCTGTACTTCTCTTCCCTCCCTTCACCTTGTCCCTTCCTTCACTTTCAGTGCCGTCCATCCAAAGGCAGAAAGCGAGGTTTCTGTTGGTGTGTGGACAAATACGGTCAGCCCTTGCCAGGTTTTGATGGGAAGGAGCGAGGAGACGCCCAGTACTACAACTCCGAGAGCCAATAGGAGCAGAGCAGGACAGAGGGAGGGGAGGGTGGGAGTGAACGCGAGAAGAATTGTAAACAAATGGAGACACTGAGGATATTGGGAGAGAGGTCAAGAGATGGCTCAGCCGATATATGGATGTTTGCTATTTCTATCTGTTGCCTGTGGGACCTTTTCTGAGGCAGAGCGAAGGGAACAGAGGAAGAGTACCAGGAGGAGAAAAAAAAAAAGCCTCTGTGTCACAGATGCAGTCTGAACTTTTCTGCGATGGATGGATTCTTCATGAGCTGTTTGTCTCTGATCCAACAAGGACAACTTCTAAGAAGAGGATACACTTAAAGAATTGATCTCAGAAGCCTTATTCTGATTATAAAACAGAGACCTTTGTACTTGCCACAAACTTTGATGAGAGTGCTCTTCATTTACGCACAACTAAGTGGCATTGCACATGTGTACATGCTTGTGATGTGTAATCGTAATTTGTATGCTTGTGATTTGTTATAAAGACATTGCGTGGGGTTATGACAACCATAAAATGTATGTATGTATGAATATGTCCTTCAGAGTAAGCGTGCAGTGCCTTACTATGAATTCCTATTCCTATGAATTCCATTTATTCCGGTTGCTTCCTGCTCCTCAGGGAGTCGGACTGCTGGACTGTGCAGCTCAAACACTACAGTGTGTATTTGTGTAGTTTTTATGCTTGATCTTGAGCCACAGAAAGAGGGATATTTCCTTTATTCTGTACTGTGGTTGTTACTGTTTGGTTGTCACTTTGCATAAGCTGAATTTTTGGGATAAAAATTATCTCTGATCTCTGCATAGCCAGTGATCACTTACATCACTTGCCTTGGTTTAAGTAAATACGCTGTTTGCATGTACAATGCAACCCTCAGAGGTCTATTTTTACTTAATAAAGGCAGTATAAAATTATCCAGGTATTGCATTTTCTTTTTTTTCCTCTTCATTTCGCCTTTTTGAGCATGTAAGAAACTGTCTTTTTTGGGCTGTTGGAAAAACACATTCAAACATGACCCCATCATGATGAAATAACATTTTAATTGGATGCACATCCACAGAATTAGAAGAATATGTACATTGTTTCAACAAAACCAATAATGGAATAGCAGCATTCCTGTCAAACAGCATTCACAAACAATTTGGCCCACTGCACATGAGCTCAACAGCAAACAACAGCATAAACACGCAAGTAAATCATAATAAATACTTGAATAGATGCTAGAATAACAAAAAAAAAAAGACAAATAAAAGCCCCTAATGTGAAAAAGGTGAAGCTGAGAAGAGCCCTCAGCAATCCTCTGCTAAACCTGTGGACCTGCAGAGACTAGTAGAGGTAGACAAATGCAGAACAACCCATACCAAACCTCACAGTGGCTTGGATGAGTGCTGATATGTTTGTGCTTGGCCACCGTGCACATACTTGCGGCACTTTAAGTATTTCCCCCAATACCCATTGAGGAAACGCCAATGGAGATACATTCAGACAATGTCAACATGTTGAATGAATGAGCGGCTGTGTTGTTTCGTGCCGTGCACAGCTCCAGTTTTGAATGAATAAAAAAAAGAAAAAACTGATCCTGAAGAGGGCTTGGCAGAGCTGTGGACCTGTGGTTTTGAGCAATGGAGTTATTTAGTCAGAAACAAATGTATACAGTGTTGCCCTATTTACAATCGCAAAAAATAGGCAAACATATAAAAAATCTAAAAATGACAAAATGGTTAATGCTAGTAAGAATATACAAGCACTGAATAAATAAGTCTTGATACATACATCAAGTAAATAAAATGAGAGGAAATTTCCCCCTCTAAAATATAGGATGTTACATTTTGTGTGAATGAGTGTCTTTTTGTAAAATGAAGTCACTATTTCCTGATGTTTAACATGTTTGCTTGTGTCTATATATATAGATACATATATGTGTGTGTATGTGAGCATGTTTATGAGTGATAGTCCATCCTTCAGTGAGTGACTTCTTGATGACACTCTGAGTCACCGAGGAGGTCACTCGATCCAGGGATCTTCTTCCCATTCCAGGAAGAGACACACCAGCAGCGGGCGGGTGGTCCAACCAGAGATGATTCACACTGAGAAAGAGAAACAGAGATGGGAAACCACACGAATAAATCACCCAGTGGCTTCAAGATGAATGAATTTTATATTTTTGAAATCCTAAAATTCTTACCTGCTTGGCCTTGTAGAAGCCGTGCTTGTCACAGTTGGGGAGGTAGAAAGTTGTAAACCTCTCTCCCAGTTTCTGCTGAGACCTGGTTATCATGTCCAGTGCTGCATGAAGATCAATGTGACAGGGACCCTGTGCAAAAAAGAAAAGCAAACAGTGAGAACTACACCCACATATAAACAAATACACCGTAGATTGACTGCAAAATTATGTTAATCCCAATTATCTCTTAAAAAAACACAGTTCCTTAAAACATAGTGCCCCCTCTAGTGGAAGGAAGGTAAATAACTTTTAATCTTCATTTGTCAGGTTGATGTTTTTTTCCTCACCTGTTGTACCAGTTTGTTGAGGATGGCATTGAGTTTGGCCTTGATACTCTCTTGGCCATCCGCACCATCTTGGTGGTCAAAAGGAACATTGAGACCAAACAGGTACTGCATGGAGCCTTGGTCAGATACTCCATCAGCTTCCTCTGTACAAAAAAAACAATAACAACTTTAATGTTAAAAGAAAATACTGCTCAGAAGTAAAGCATTTAGACATTTTAACAGTAAACAGATAAAACCATAAAAATCTGAGACTACCTTGACCCAGATCTTCAGTGCAGACCCCCTGTCCTCTGGTCAGAGCATGGAGTGGCCTGGCCTCCCCAGGCCTGGGATTGCAGCGGAGACCCTCGCCACAGTGGGCTGTGTGAACCCCACAGGATGCTCCTTTCTCCAGAGCGCAGGCCATGCAGCAGCCACAGCCAGGCTCCCTCAGCACCTGCTGGCAGTCTGCCGGGATGGCAGGACAGTTGTTCAGTTTCTCTTGTGTGCAGGGGGCACAGCGGATAGGCTCCGGCCCCACCACTGGGGATGATCTCACCACGGCCAAGACAGCCAGAAATGACGCTGCCACCACCAAAATCAGCTTTTCATATAATCCAGGCATCTCCAGTCTTTAAATTAATATATTCTTCCTTCTTTTTGGACTTTCCTTTCTAAGCTGCTCAGTATGACTGTACTTTTCCTTCTAAACTGACTTCTCTGAACCAGCAGTATTTATGTGGAAACCTGGCCTCCAGAGGCGTTAATGATTGACACACTACAGATGTAAAATATTTTTGACAAAGCTGCTGTAAACGGTGGATGACCCTGCTGGACGTGCGTAGATCCAGGTTCACAAGGTCTGCTGTCAATATTGACTTTGGAACATAAAAGTGATTGTAGATCAAAACAACCCTGTTTTTGGACGACCAAATTACTGATGACCAAATTACTGATTTGTGTCTTTACGTTGGAGGTTATGACAACAATAACATGAAAACAGCTTTTTAAAGAAATGTACCAATAAACTAGTATTGAGTAACATCAACAATAAGGAATACAACATAATCCAAGGAGTCACAGACTATGAGATAATGACTGGTGATTAGAAAATCTCTGACTGGGATTGTTGTTTTAAAATGCTGACAGATTTTGTTTTGACCCTATTTTTCCCTTTAGTCTCTTTGGTGAAGGTTCCTCTTATCAGGTAGACTGATAAACAAGATCATTCCCCTTTGGCACTGCATAACCCTAACATTATGGATTGCTCTGCTAGAATCACAACATGTTTGTATGAAGAAAGCCAGTAGTAATTGGTTGTTTTTTTGGTGTAGTATTTGTCATAACTATAAGGCAATGCCAGATACCATAACTTGTGTGATATACACACCAACACTACTCTAGACCTGCTCTATATGGAAAGGTAAAGATAACTTCTGTAATGATTTGGCACTCTACAAATAAAATTGATTTGAAAGATTTAAGTGAATTGAATATGTATATGTGATATGAACACTATCCACTGACTCAAAATCATGCTGAATCCCCCCCACAAAATGCACTACAATCATGCACTATAATATAACTAGGAAATATCAATAAAATAATCAAGATTATTACCAACGTATTTCTTTTTTAACATTTGTCTGTCAGGGTCCTGGAAGCTGCTGGTGGTGGCTGTGAGAAGGTGATGTTATAGTGCAATGGAAAATATGAAAATGATGAGCAAATAAGTACTAGCTTACTCTGTGCCTTCGGTCAACTAATATAATAAAATACTGCTTACTGTAAATACATCAGTAAAAATGATAATCCAGTAATGTAATATACTATACACACACGTCAATATTATTCCTTTTTAAAGTATTATTTTTTTTGGCCTTTTATACCTTTACTTGATACAGATAGCTGGAGAGAGACAGGAAAGGGGGACAAAGAGAGAGGGGACGACATTCAGCAAAGGGCCGCAGGTCCGAGTCAAACCCAGGCCGCTGCGTATATGGGTCGCCAGCTCTACCGACTGAGCTAACCGGGCACCCAGTCATTTTTATTCCTTATACTGTTACTTTTGATTTGACTTTACTTCTTTTACTTGAATGAAGGATCTGAATACTTTTCCACCACTGGAAAAGAGACTATATGGAAGAACACAAGTACCTTTCTTATTGAATATCTGGTAGAACATACACAAAAGGAGCAACTTGGTAGGCCATGCATATGGAAATGCATTCTTTTTTTACTTTGTTTTTTAATTTTTTGGAAATGATTGCATTATTTAAATAAGCCACACTCAAATGAAACTATGAACCAACAAGCTCAAAGATAACCTCTCCCCTTTTGCTCTTTTAAAAGTTAAATAAACCACTATGTGTGGGTGTGTTTGAAGAGAGCTTTTGGCCCCTCAAATGGCATTTGACACAGGCAAAAGAAAATCAAAAGATCACAGACCTGTAAAGGTGAAAGGGTTCAGGCTAAAGCTGACATTACACAAAAAACACAACAAAATATCATAAACACAAATAGAACAAATGTTTTCATCATCCTTATTATTTCTTTATTCAGAAGAAAAAAAACAGTGACTTTACACATGGACTTTACTCTCAGCTAATGCCAACTCTTAATATGGCATATTGGCCGTGATGAGTTTGTTCTACATTTGCGTTCACCAACGAGGTCACTGGTTGACATGCCAGAATGTTTCACATTCACCCTGAGCCCTGTGAAGAGAGTTACTCAACCACCAGTTGGTGAGTTGTTGCCTCCTCAATGTTGACCATTAGGTCCACCAGCCACTTAGGAAACGCCTCCTCCTTCGAAACATTTTGGAAGACATTGGTGAAAAAACTACATTATAATCCTTAATTTAAAAATATAAAACATTAAAATTAATGCTCACAAGAGACGACTCCTTGTGCCTTTTCCTGCTTGTCTTCTTCTGCACCTGTGGTTTAGGCGGCGTGTGTTTTTGCCATCTGATCTTGGAGATCTTAAAACAATAGAGAATCACCTCCTTCCCATTTGAGCTGTGTGTAGTCAAATAATGAATTGTGCCTAAAGACTTACCTTCATTCTCAGCTCACCTCTAATGGACCTCTTCACATTTCTTAACCTTGCTTGCCCAGGTGGGGTAGCTTCATCTCTTAAATTCACTGCATGTGAGCTCCAATCTGACACAGAGAAATCCTCAGTGTCCTCCTGGTGATTGTTGGTAGATTGCATTTGAGGAAAACTCTCTTGGCTGAGAGAACGAGACCATCTCCTAGGTCTCATAACCCACAGCAGAGGAGCATCATCCTCGCCTTCCTCACTCTCTTCTTCTGTCATAACCTCCTTTGTCTCCTCATCTAGTTGTATTTGAAAATCCTCCTCCTCCTCCTCCTCCTCCTCCTCCTCTCCTTCTCCTGTTTTGCTTCCTTCGATTTCATCTTCCTGCTCTGACTCTTCCTGTATGGGCTCCAGATATGGCCTCTGTTCCATCATTTACATTCATGTCATTTTTTACGTACAGAGTAGAACATAAGAGTCCAATTAAATAAAGACACAATTAGGATTTTTGTGCTGTGACTTATTTCTTATATGAAAATAGCAAAAAAGATGAAAACTTACACTTTGCTGCTGCATGTCCATTTAGCTGGTAGACCTGATATACAGCCTAAAGATCCTTTAGTTTCACGTTTCCATTAGCTGATTATTCAAATCAGGTGTGGGGGCTTAACGACAGACAGATGACAGGTGGAGACTTTCTGATTCATGAGGTTAAAGAAAAAGCAATGTAACATGAGCCAGTGGTTCTATAAAATAAGATTAGTGTGTTGTAATATACCTATTTGAATTCTTTATATTTAAAAGCATGATAAGACTTGTGAAGGGACACCACCAATAATAGACATGAAGTTACTTGTCAGTAGTAGAAGTACTCAGTTGTATAATGTCATCTAGAGCTTTTGGAGCTTGACTCGTTTAGGCTACTTAGACCTCAGCTGCTTTGTTTTTTTCTCATTTAATAATAACTATGAAATCTGGTACTAATTATGGAAAAAAAGTGACAGTGTTTTTTTGGTACACTTCCAATGCTGGTAAATTAACTTCAGTTTACTAGAGTAACCCAGAGAGTCTTTAAGAGAATCAGTGCACAGCAGTTTCTCTGGCAAGCATACAATTCAACATGTCTGAGAATTAAAGGACCAGTGGGTATAATTTAGGAGGATCTATTGGCAGGAATGAAATATAATAATAATAGGTATGTTTTCATTAGAGTAAAATCACCTGAATATAGGAAGTGTTTTCATTACCTTTAGAATGAGTTTTTATCTCCGTTGCCTTGCACTGAGTCGGCCATGTTGAACCGCCATGGCTCTAGATAGGGCCTTTTGCATTTTTTCAGTTTCACAGCCACCACAGTTTCTCTTACACACTTCACAGCCCGCTGTCATTCCCAGGTCATCGAATTCAGTTAGTTGCAATCTACAACTTTACCACTAGATACCACTAAATCCAACACACTGGTCCTTTAAAGGTACCCTGTTTTTGACTAAGAGCAGTGCTATGGAGGAATGCTTTTACAAGTGGGTCCCCAATTTGTTTGTATCTTGGCGAAACTTTCACACTATTTCATTGATTGACAGTTGGCGGCAGGCACATACATGGAAGTGTAGGAACGTGCCAAAAAAGGCAGTGAAGAAGCAGACTGCAAGCTCACAAATATGGATGTAATATTAAGAGATCAAAAATGGTTTTATGAGGCTGGAAATGCATTCAGTTTCCATTTGTTAGACCTAGGATAAACACGTGTTTGGTATACACTGAATATAAACATCACTTTTGTTTGTTTAGATGAAAACTTTCTGCTAATAAGTGACTGATGAACGAATATTAACAATTTGATTAATATTCAGCAATTCTCTCAGAGATATTCCTCTGGAGATCAACAACTGCTTATAAACTTAACACAACTAACACTGTCCCTAAAATGAGTTCCAAATTACATATTTCTTTCAAGGAGACTTAGTTGGAAGTAATTATTAAATGACAGATCCATAAAATAAATAAAAATGTATAGTATTCTTGTTTGCCATGACCTAATTCACTCATATTGACCCTCTTTAACCCTGGTGACAGTAAGGGGAGGGTTGTTTGTGAACCATCATTTACCTTGGATTCCCTTCCTTGCTTAATGTCAACTTTAGGTTGGAGTCATGGCACTTTAGCATGACAGTGATGACAACACCAGACCTATTTTAAAAAGCTTTTTTCTGTTAAATAAGAACTCCTTTAAGATACATCAACACTACACTTAATCTCAAATTATTATTATTATTTGCTGTATTTTATTCCAAAGCAAAAAATAATTCCAAGGCTGAAAGTGGTGGAGCAAGCCAGGCGTTTGTTGACTTAACTGTTACACTGAGTGAACCCCAGAGAAATTCTACATCAGTGCAGGGAAAACAATTTTGGCGCACGCTCAGCATTTGGACATAGTGACATTCATCTGGCTGTGGGCTGTGGAAGGACACCGATTGGCATAATAAACCTGTCATTGTCTACCATATTTTGCTGTGTAGAGTGAAAGCTGTTATTTTAAGAACCATAAACTAAGGTGTGAGAAATGAAATTTTATAGAGTGGAACTAACAGGGAAAACTGCCCATAAAAAGTTATATTTGTTACCCGCTGATCGTTTGCTGTGCTGCATGCTAGGCTTGAGGTTTGGGGGACAAAGTGTAAATATTGTGTTTCAGATTGAAAATCCTCATATGGCTCATACCTAAAAATCAACAAAAAGATCCTCATTTACACCCTCAACCACAATCCCAAACACCTACTTGTTTTACATCTCGGTAGCCAAACATTTTTTCCGTATCTACTGACATTCATGATCATACTCATTTAATATTTTATACACCAATATCGTCTTTATTACAAAATATTCAATAACCCAACTTTACACTGTACAAGATACAACATAGTTTACAGCTTTTGGCTATTTACAAAAAGTATGATCTGCATATCAAAGTGAATATATCTAAAAAGGCAGGTTGCAATCACTGTAAGCTTGAGTAAGGCAAAAACTTGAAACAAGATGTATTTACACTTTTGCAGATCAAGTGAAAGTTCTATGATGATAAAGATATAGGCTATAAAGATATCTTAAGCGCCTCACATGTCTGAGACTGCATCTGAAAGACGTGCTAAAGCTCATACATTATGAGGACAACTCATTTTGAGGAAAAACTCAAAATGTAGCTTAAATATATAGCAAAAAGAAGCTGGAGTAGAGCAACGTATGCCTGAAAGACGACAGTAGCCAGACACTGCACCAAAGTTTCTGTGGCCTTGAGAAAATGTGTCAATGTACATGGAGCATTTGAAAGGCTTAGGCTAAAGGTTGTGTGCTTATTGTATGTGCTTAAGTAATGTATGTGCTGTCTTCTGTGTGGAAGAATGCCTTAATGGATGCCTACATGTATATTTGAACCATACATACGGGTGTATTGGTTCTTGATGTGATGTTGATCGTACACATGTAAGAAGGTATTCAGGAACCCCTATTTTGTCTCTCTGGGGGTTCAAAAAGACACTTTTTAAGTCTACCGATGACGTGGCTCCCATATGCCAAGTATGTTCAACCTACTGCAACATTTTCTCTTCTCTCTTGTGTGTCTTGTGTGGTGAGGCAATATAAGCAGTAAAACTAAAGATCTATGGAAAGCTCAATACTTTGGTTTTCTTTCAACAGGAGTACCGTTACTATGGCTATCAGCTCTTAAAAAGTCATGCACTATCAACTGTAAATATGTCTAAAAAAAAAAGCCAATTTCCTCCTGTGAGCTCCGAGTATAAAAAAGTATTTTGTGCTGTTTCGTTACAATTCAGAATTAACCACACATGCATACACACACCCACAAGTACACACATGCATGCTTACATACACTGAAAAGAAACAACACCATTTTACACTGTAAATAATGCAATGTATCCTTGGCATAATCAGAAAGACAGTGCAAAAGCAATAGCATGATCAGTCTTTTTCTGGATAACAATGCACATATCCCTTGTACATGGAATATGTACTATATAAAACAAAGATGCACATTATATCTGGATCTGAGGGAACCCAGGGACACCACAAATCTAATCATCTGGTATAGACATGTTAAAAGAGGATTTCAGATCATGGGTTTCTCTCTTCTTTATTCCACATTTGTCTTCCAGGAGTGGCAAGCAGGAAAAATCCCTAAATCGAGTATGATTGTCCTTGTCACCATGTGTCATTTCTCTGTATGTTCGTCTCCTGATTGAGCATATTCTGGGTTGTGCCAGTAGCTCAAGATTTTATAGGAAATACCTGGACAGCCCTGTCTTCATTAGGCCTCCAACCAGGGTTTTCCTTCCTTTTTTAATTGAAGTTTAACTTTCCAGTCTTGTCTTTATTCCTACACTGCTGCGTCTGCAACAGCTGCCACACCCTCGATCTTAATCTCCGTCACATCTAAGTCCTCCTCGTCCTCCTCGCCCACTGCGGGCACGCAAGGAGAGGGCAGGCATGTTGCTTGGTTGTTGCTGCTGTTGGCGGTGTTCATCTGCATGTTGCTGCCCATGCTGGCAAAAGCAGTCAGGCTGGCGGCAGAGGAGACACTTCCCAGATTGGTCGGCACACTCGTCTTGCCACAGGAGTGGATCCGGCGCGCCAGGCTGGCGGAACGCATCACTGAAGAAGTGGTCACAGTGCCCACACCCTGAACTTTCCCTTCCAGGAAGTAGGTCAGCATCTCACCTTTACCCTTGACACTGACTTTGCCGCGGCACACCAGGTCATAGTTGGTATTCAGCAGGCGATACACCTCTTCGGTCACCTGTATCATAAAAACAAGGAAACATACGTGTGTTCAACATACGAGTTCAATTTATTATCAAAATAAAACAATGTGTATATTTATTTAATATAATTTACTTGTCTGTAGTGAAATAGTTTTGCTGCTGTGCCTCAAACTATGTTTAATGTCAAAATATTGTTATGGAATTTAGAAATATTAACATAGTAGTAACTTTTTACATATAGACATTATACTTCAGAAAGAACCATTCACATGGTTAATTGCATCAAAATACATCAAGCTTGAGGTCTTGATTCCCCAGCTGTTCCAGCTGCCCACATCTAGTACACAGCAATAAATAGATACAGTAAATAGGAAATTCAGCTGCAGTGCCTCTTTTTATGCCAATGCACTTTGGAGTTACTGGTGTGAGCAATGCTCAACTAACTGAAATAACTTCTGAGTGGCTTTCATTGGAAAAGGTCCTTCCACTTCTATAGAAGGTACTTTGAGCTAATGCTTACCGGATGCCACATTAGAATAAATTATGAAATATTTTATTCTCTTAATTGCATTTTATCTTGATACTGATCCTATCTCCTGATTTTGGTGGTTTATGATAAATGAATTTCACCTTTACAACTGTAGTTTTGATGCCTTTTATTCTGTTTTCCACATAAGCATTGTCTTTCAACCAAACTCCCATTATAATAAAATTACTTTCATTTAAGGTACGTTGGATACCTGTATCTTCCCCGGTACTCCAGTGCTGTCCATCCTGCTCGCCACATTGACTGTGTTCCCCCAGATATCATACTGAGGTCGCCGTGCCCCAATCACCCCTGCAACCACTGGACCCACATTGATACCTGCACAAACAAAACACAATATTAAACAAATACAAAACAGGTTTTTCACATTGTGATTTACTTTGAGTTTAATACAGAGGTGGACGTACCCACTCTCAAGACAAACTCATTGTATGACTGATAGTTGATTTCATCCAAAACGTCAAACATCTCAATGGCATAGTCTGCTATTGTACTCAGATGGTCGTAAACAGATTTTTTGGCCTAAAGAGGGGAAGTACACCAAACAGTTAGTATGTTTTCATATGCATGAAATGATCCTTCATATTGTCTTCATTATGATGGACTACACCCATTTATACACGTGCAAACAGAAGCACACACACACACACACACACACAGAAACACAAAATGACATGCCACCTTGGTACCAATGGTGGGGACGAGGCCCACAGCTGCCATGTATGTACTGCCAATGGTTTTGATTTTCTCTATGTCTTTGTAGCACTCCTTATCCATGAGCTGCAAAAACATACATTCGAAAAAACACATAATGCAACAGTTAAAATCTCCCAGAGGTCTATGTTCATAGTCCAGAATTAAAATCATCGCCCCCACCTCGTCAAAGTCGGCGATGATCTCATTCAACAGTCTCAGGCACTCCACTCCCATGTTGTTGCCATCCAGCTCGATGTAGAAATCATTGAAGTTTGGGATTGAGGCAAACAGGACACCAACTTGTGCGTAAGACTGATAGTATAGATCCTAATGGAAAAAGAAAGAACAGTATAAAAGTATAAAATATTAACAAATCTTGCAATGTTCGTCTTTCGTTTGTCTTCTTGTCTGTTTATCTACCTGTTTGTCTGTCTGTCTGTCTGCCTGTCTATTAGCGAGGCTCACCATATTCCTGGGGTTCGACATTAGGAAGTGTTGAGCCACGTGTGCAGGTAGAAGATTGAAGAGAATCCTCCTGTTGTCCAGCTTGACTTTCTCCATGCCATCCCTCTCCTCTTCCGCCTGTCAGCAAAAGTAGCACAGACAAAATATACAGATGCAGCCATGAGGACTATAGCTTGTCCCACATTTTCACCACATGGGGTCAGTAATAAACCTTACGAGCCATAGAACATGGTCTTTATGTCTCAGTTTTAATAGACTTGGATACATTACACGACTAATGCTGCTAGTTAAAGTATTAAATAGCTTAAAATTCTGTTTCAACACTTAAGTCCAACTATGCACAATAGTCCTTTTTTTTACAGTCCTTGCACCAAAGGAACCAAGCCAAAACAAGCTTCTTACCCTCATTTTGGCCAAAGAACGGACAGCTGGCAGCCTATAAATACAAATCTTACATACATAACCCAATAGTTTACATATATCAAAGTTGAAATGGCAGCACTTCTACAGTACACTTCTATTCAAACTTGTGTTATGATAATGAGATTTAAGCCTCTCAACATCCAAAGCTTCTTTCACATGCACAGACTCACTGACACACACACTTACTGACCTGCACAGCCCATAGGAAGTCCAAGCGGAGTTTGAGGTCAAGTTGCCGGGAGTGGAGGGCCAGGGCACTGACAAAGAGCAACAGAGACAGGATGGGCTCATAGCCCCGGATGTGGAAGGACCCCCCACTGTGGAAGAGACCAACACACAAGTCAGCACTGGACTGGACCACACAGAAAACTACACATGAGGGTTGAATGGACCCCCCACAGTGTGGAGCGCAATCATGAATAAAGTTTTGCTAAAGAAATAATGAAAACAAGGATTTTTTTTTTTTAAAGAGCAACATCAAAACAAAATATTAAATTAAAGAAATGTTTAAATGGATGAACTTAAATGTGCTTAAAAGTTCGGACCATACGATATTATTATTATTTACTGAAGCATGACTGCATTTAAAAAAAAATGTTTTTCATAAGAGATCTTTATCTTAACAAGCTGGGCAAATTCAACATAATCACTTTTCAGGGGCACATTTATGATCTGAGCTCCAATAAAATTGTCCGGGCCCCTCGGTACTGGGTTGAAACACGCTCCTATCATCCAGCCCACATTGTCCTTTCAGGCTTCTGATTGGGAAGTAATGAGCACATGTGCTGCATCAAATGGTGGTAAATGAAAGAGTTTGTGGGCTGCAGACAAGCAAAAACTCCTCCACACGCATCGCAGCACATGTACTGTAAATGTTCTTCTAAACTCCTGGAAATCTGTTCCTCTGTTCTTCAGAACAAACAAACACAAAAAGCCGTTGCTTGACATTCACACCCAATCTTTGCCCCTGATGCTCAAATGACACACAATCGTAAGTAGATCAGGGGGCTCTCACTTTAAGCTCTGATAGGATGTGTGTGTTGTTGTCATGTAACTTCAGGAAATGACAGAAATAAAAAGTGCAAACAAGCTCAAGTGTTTTGCATGATTGTGTGCGCGCGTGTGGTGTTTGTGGTCATGTTGTGCAGTGAGCCTCACCCTGCAGTCTTGCGAAAGCCGCTGAGCTCCAACACGGTCACATACAGCACCCCCAGAAGGAGCATTAGCGCCATCTTTGGCAGCCAGGAGACCCGCAGGAAAAGTGCCAGGGTAAGGGTGCCCACCACACAGGACAGAAAGGCGTAACGGGCGCCATCACAAGGCAGCTCAGCCATGGTGTGGTTGGCGCCGCTGTCCACATCAATGATGACGATGGAGCTGTTGGTGTTGGCACTACTCCACAACCAGGGCATACAGCCCACCTGACAGAGGCAAACAGGAAGATACATGAGAATGAAGTAGAGAATAGTTCAGTGATAGCCTACTGTCACAATTTGCCCTTTTCCACTTACCACGCAGGCCTGGGCCACAGCGTAGATTAAGAGCACTATGAAAATACAGAGAGCAGTGCGAATCTGAATGGTCAGGCACCCTGGAAAACACTGAAGGTCAAAAACAAAGAGTTAGATTATATGATATGATAAATAGTAAAACAAAAAAACATCTTTATGTTGTGCATATATAATACTATGTGTTAATACATGCCAAGATTACAGTAAGATAATGTGGGTTAGTTGCTGGAACAGTATCAGGAAGAAACACTTGAAATCAAACTGCTGTGTAGACAGAGGTTCGGATAGCATGAGGTAAGTAAGGCGAGTAAAGAAGAGAAAGAGAAACAGAGGGAGAAAATGAACCTATAAAATCCACTAAGTGTAAAAAACTGATGTGGTCAGGAGCTTTGAGGACGACCATCAACCTCAACAAAAGCTTTAAATGCAGTACAGGGGCTTAGAAAGTAATCTTGAAGCCAATGAATACTGAATCGTTATTACAAGGCTTTATAAAATACATTTACATTTTCTCTTTAGTCAGCAAAAACCCCTAAGGAATCATAGCAGAAAAAACCTTAAAATAAGGAAAGTTAAATTTGCCAGCTCTATTAGGCTCCAGATCAGAGAGGACTGATCTATTAGTAGTAAAAGATTGAGTAAAAAGTGAATGAAGAAAAGAAGACCTCAACTCAGGTAGGATAAAGATACGAAAAGGCAGCCGTATTTACCTGTACTCTAGTGATATGCAGGTACATGATACAAGCTACTAGGAAACAGATGCAGAAGACGAGAAGGACTAGTACCACTGTGCCCCTGAGTGAAAAAAAGGGAGAGGAAGATAGTGGGGTTAGTTAAAAAGACAAAGACTTGAAGGAGTCAATTAAATAGATAAACATTAGAGAGAAGAGTATGCTGTACATACTGTGGTATGATGAGAAGATAGACAAGGCCAAACAAGGCAGCTAGGATCAGAGAGAGGACCACTGCGCTGGTGAAGTACTCATCAGGAAGCTGGTGGTACTATGTAATGAGACAAGATAGGAATGAGTAACAAAACATCACAGCACTCACTCAGAGGCTTCATCTACATCTCACTGCACAGCTACAGTATGTGTCTGCAGTGTCTCACCCTCTGCTCACGCTCAGAGCACTTATACATGAGTGTGAGAAAGTTGAGGTCCGCCGTGTCTGACTCAGTCTGGCGGGCCTCGATCAGGCGGCCGATGTAGCGGTTGACCCGGGTTCTGGGGCTGCTCTGGATCAGATTAGCCTGGTTTGTGTTGGAACGATTCCTCAGCTTCTGTGGAGCCGTCCGCATGGCCCTCCGCTGGTGGGATAAAAAAAGAAATCTTGACTGAAAACGTAGGACATGAAAAACAATAGTGTGATAAATTGGCTGCAATGCAGCGTCCTGTACTCTCTGCACTAGCGGCGTATTATCATATTATGAACAAGGGTGAATAAGAGTCAACAATAAAAACGGGCAGCTGATTATACTTTTAAATTAGGACATTGCCTTCACACTTAACTTCATTACTGAATGCACCCCGCTGTGTCTGAGTGTCTTCGGCAGCCAAAGTGAGCAGCTTTGCAAAACATTGGGCATTGGAGCAAAGCCAGAGAGTTAACATGGCAGAGTGGATGTTTGTGTGTATGTGTATATGTGTGTGTGTAAATGTAAGTGAGCATGCTGGATGAATTGTGTAGCTCGGTGGCACAGTAGGGGAGCAAAGGCTGAGCAAGAGTGTTCATGACTTCATTACACATGAATGTGTACAGCTCACTGACTTCCTTGATTTCTTCCCTTTTCTTTCTGTTCTTCGTCCCTTCTTTCTGTCCTTCTTTGCCTCTGTCTATGCTTTCCTGCTTACTGCTTTCTCTCCATGCTTCTGTATAGTCATCCTGACTTCCGTCTTTCCTTCCCTGCTTCCATATCCTTCCTTACTTGTTTCTTCCCTTCACTGTTTCCATATATTCCCCTCTACTTCCGTCTTTCCTTCCCCACCTCCGTATTTTCTTCCCTACAGCCACTGTTCCTTCCTTATATTCTCGTATATTCTTCCTTACTTCCTTCTTTTCTTTCTTGCTTGCATATATTCTTTCCTATTTCCGTCCTCCCTTCCCGCTTCCATATTTTCTTCCCTACTTCAGTCTTTCCTTGCTTGCTTCCTCATATTCTTCCTTACTTCCTTTTTTTTATCTTTCTTACATATTCTTCCTTACTTCTGTCTTTCCTTCCCCACTTCTGTATCTTCTTCCTTTTTTCATATGTTGCTTCTGTATACTCTTCTTTACTTAATTCATTGTTTCCTTCTATTCTTCCTCAGTTCCTTCCTTCCCCCCCAGTTCTCTATATTCTTCCACACTCCCTTCTTTCCTTCCCTGCTTCTGTGTATTCTACCATCCTTCCTGTTTTTGTCTATTCTTCCGTGCTTCCTTCTTTTCTCACCTGCTCCCTTCTCCCCATCCTTACTTGCTTCTTCATGTCCTGTTTCTGTTTAGTCTTCCCTCCTTCCATCTAGTCTCTCTTCTTTCACTCTCTCCCCCTTTTCTATCCCTTATTTATCTTTGCCTCCCTCACACTCTCGTTTTGTGTTATTTATGAGGCAGCAACACAGTGACCTGCAGATGTTGACTTCTCCTTATGTCCCATATTGTGCTCAACGTAGCACAGGACACATCATGCAGCCACGTCTGCTGCACCAAAAATCCTATTCATTCATCCCTTTTCCCTCATATCGCTCCTCTTCGTGCCTTGAATGCATATGTCCTTTCACACAATTCAAGTGTGTATGTGGTCTGAATGTGAAATAACCATTCAGTAGTAGAAGGTGCATGTATGGCTTAACCAGTCACCACTTTTCTCTTTTCGAATGACTGTTTTATACTAATCTGACTTCTGCCTACAATGTGAGGATGTGGTCATTACTGGTAATGTACATTTAAGAGCAGACACTATCATGTAGTGTGAGGTAAAGATCTACTGGACGCAACCACTGATGGCAACCTAAAAGTGGGAAGATGATTAATCAAACATTCATACTAAATATTTAAAAATCTAGCAAATAACATTGTTTTGACATAAATTGATTCTCTAAACACTGGCTGTACCCATAACTGCTACATGCCTTATCAACCCATATCTTAGTCTAAAGTAAATCTTTAACCTTCTGGGGATGATGGTGTGATCATCCCCATTAGGTATGATAGGGATGATCACATGATGGTGTGATTAGCTTAACTTGTCCCCTTCAGAAGAAAAATACATTGCACACCCGCACACACAGACACACCTGAAAATCTGGATTAAAACAGCTGGTGCAAGAATTGTACAGCTGCCAGGCCACAGGATTTCTCTTCAGGCACACAAGGTCAAGTAAGCTCTTTGACATTTGGCCAGATTGCCAGTGTCACTGACAGTATATGCAGGGGGAAATGGTATGTCGGTCTCTGGCAGGAGCAACATGCTGAGGTCATTATAGCTGACAGGATCATCACTTACCATCACACCCTATCTTCTTACAATAAAGTATACATCCTGTGAAAGCCATGTATTTATTTACTGACTAAGATGTACAGTTGCAAGGACAAGTTTGTTAAGCCTTTTGAATGACCTGGAATCATGAATTCATTTTTAAACTGTGGATTGCTAATTTAACTAATCCATGGCACATAGATAAACAGTCTTATATAACAAAAAACCCTTTAAACATTGTGTGTAAACATGGTAAAATATGTAAGCTTTAAGGATAGTGACTTTGGTGAATATTGGTGTCATGATTTCCAGCCAGTTTGTGTGGGTGGAAATGTCCTGCTTGATAAAAAAGACACCTCAATGTCAAACAACATAATTAATTGTCTGATAGTCTATGATTCAGAGTAGGGCTGCAACCAATGATTTTTTTCAATACCGATTAATCTGCCAATTATTTTCTTGATTAATCATTTGATCTATAAAATATCAAAAAATAGTGACCACGACAATTCCCTAATGCCCAGGGTCTGTCTGAGCCCAAAAATATGCAGTTAACACACAAGACAAAAAATAGCAAATGCTCGCAATTGAGAGGGTGGAACCAATGACTGTTTGTCATGTTTGCTAAAAAAAATTACAGAACTAATTAATTATTGTGAATTAATTTACCATAGCCTATATACACCAATTGATTAATTGTTCCAGGTCTAATTCAGAGTCTACAACAGAGATCTGTAGAAGGTAAACATGCCTGGAAAAGTTATGACATGACTTCTTGAGTATCATCAAACAGCACTATTGGACTTTAGACTGGCTGTGCTGAAAAAAAAAATCACTGCAAGAGTACCATGTACGGTGTTCAATGAGGTGACAAAGAGCATTTGTGTAACAGCTAACGATTCCTGGAGCACCTCTTGCACAGGCCCCTCCTGTATGTCCAAGAATTCACATCAAGAAAACCACTAAGCCATGAAGGAATCCACGAACACACATTGTTGCTCCTCTAATGTTTGCCAAAGACCCCTTGGATGATCAACAATTCATGTCTTAAGCCTATACAAATTTGCATTGTGGATCAGCCAAGCCTTGACGTTAAGCACATGGAAATGCCGAGGCATGACCTGAAGGGTCTTTTGAAGAATAGTTTAAAATGCTTTTTATTTGCTATACAGTTCTACAAAAAGCATTTGCCTGAAATACATAGTTACTAAAGTAGTGTTAACTTATACTGTAATGCTTGCAACAATATCATGAATAAAGACAATAAAGGTTCGGGTTGTGGTTTAAATAAAGAGATCAGACCACATTTAGGGGCATTTAGAAATCCAGGTAATTCAAACAAACGTTAGAACATTACATTTTTCACTATTGGAGAAAACTCTAGACATTCAGACTGTATATCTTTTTGTCTATTTATGTAAATCACAGCACGAACAAACACAGAAACGTCAACACAGACACTGAGAGTTTATACCTTATCACCGTCCTCGCAGTTCATGACATTGGAGAACGGAATCTCAGCCTTGAACATCTTCCTGCAGTGCATAAGCTGCACTAGTAAGTAGCACACAGTTTTGAACTTCATCTTTTTGGCGGGCTTTATATCCGAAAGAATCAATCCTGGGAATATCTGTCACCAGATAAGAAACGGGAACAAGGATTTAGTTATGATACCCCAAACAGTAATATATATTATTTAAGGGTCTATAAATCATGCACAGGCAGTGGACAGTATGCACGTGCACACATGCTCATGCACACACATGCATGCAGTCATTATTATCAGGCTCAGGAATTTAACTGGAAAGAGGTTAAAATAATGTCAATCCCTTTGGTGATTTTAATAGTTTTAAGACTTTGCTGCCCTTGTGTCTCTTTCATAAAGCTATTTTAGAAAGAGTGGTAAAGATTAAGCTCACATTAAAGAGTTTGAGAAGGTGTCTGAGTGTCATTTGCAGTAAGAAATATAAGCTTTGTTCCATACACAAAGTTGGAAGTGTGTCCCTAAACAGCAGTAGTAAAAGGCACAATAGAAAAATGAAGAGAAGCCTATACAACACAGCTTAGTCAGGGCACATCTTTCTCTGAGCCATGTCTTTGATGAAGTCTAACCATCAGCTTTATTAAGAGGATTAGCAGAGTCTCCCGCTTATAAAAGAAAAAAACAACACGCAACTGGGATGTTACAGGTTCACATACGGACCAATGTAACCTATGTGCAAGCCTTATCTTGCATTATATAAAACCTGGTGCAACAAATAATGAGGAAAGGGAAAGGAAGAGGGGAGGAGAGGTAGAAGGGTGGAGAGAGGAGGCCTGATGGAGTAATACAGAGACAGGACTAAAATTCCCTCTCCAGCTGCTTGTGGCACATCTGTTGGAGATGTGTGTGTTAATGTGTATGCACTGACACACACACACA